CTGGTTTAGACCTGATGTAGACTTGGTTTGGTTCTAGTCTAGTCCTGGTTTAGTCTCAAATTTGATGTGGTGTGGTTTATTTGCAGGTTTGAGCTCACTTTAATCCCAGTTTTGATAAAGTGTGTGCTCAGTGTGGATGCAGTCAGAGCCTACGCAAAATCACAACACGATGCATACATTAGTGAAACGACACAACAAAATACATTTCACAGTCTTTTACTCGTATTTCACATTTATTTATTTATTTATTTATTTCCAATACTCATAGTTCACATTTATTTATTTTTTTATTTACTTATTTATTTCGTATACTCGTTGTTCACATTTATTTATTTACTTATTTATTTCGTATACACGTATTTATTTCACATTTCACAGTATTTCACTCGTACTTTTATGTAACGCCCATAATAACCTGAAATTGCAAATATTAAACACAATCATTACGTTCAGACTGTAGCGGTGTGGAGGAGAAAAGCCCTGTTCTTTCTCTCTATATCTTTATTTTTCTCTTTGTTTTTTGCTTTCCCTCTCTTTCTTTCTTTTTGGCTTTAATCTTGCTGTTTGGTTCTTTCTCTCTCTCACATGGTTTTCTTCGTGGCTTCTTCTTTCTCTCTTTTTCTCTGTCTCTGCTTGTTTGTCTGTTCTCTCTTTATGCCTTGCTCTCTTTTTTTAAGTTTTTTTTCTCTCTCTCTTTGTTTTCTCTCTCTTTTCACTCTTTTGTCTTTCTCTGTCTCTTTTTCCCCCTCTCTCTACTATACCTCTCCCGCTTTTACTCTTTTTTTGTCTTCTTTTTTTCTCTCTTTTAAATCTCTTTCTCTTTAGGGCTATCCTTCCCTTCCATCTCTCTATTTGTTTTTCTGTCTTTTTAGATCTGTTTTCCTCTTTCTTTCTTTCTTTCTTTCTCTCTCTTTCTCTCTTGGTTTTTCTATTCTTTTTGTCATTCTCTCTTCTTTATCTCTACAGCCCCCTCATCTTTCTCTCTTTTTCTCTGTCTCTGATTGTCTTCTCTGGCTCTCTCTCTTTTTCTCTCTCTTTTCACTCTCTCTTTCTCTACCCTACCACAATTTCCATCTCTTTTGTCTTTCTCTGTCTGTCTCTTTTTTCCCTCTCTCTTTTTAAAACACTCTCTCTCTTGTTTTTTTCTCTTCTTCTTGGCTTTCTTTCTCTTCTTTCTCTTTGGGTTTTTTGTCTTCTCTTTCTCTGTCTTTTAACTCTCTCTCTCTTTAGGGCTATCCTTCCCTCAAACTCTCTCTTTGTTTTTAGATCTCCCTTTTACTCTTTTTTTTTCTCTCTCTTAGGTCTGTCTTTCCCTCCAACCCTCTCTATCTCTCTCTTTATTAGGTCTCTCTTTCCCTCTTTTATTCTCTCTCTCTCTCTGTTCATCTTCTCTTTCTCTCTCTTTTAACTCTCTCTCTCTGTCTTTAGGGCTATCCTTCCCTCCCATCTCTCTCTCTTTGTTTTTAGATCTCTCTTTTCCTCTTTCTTTCTTTCTTTCTTTCTTTCTCTCTCTCTCTCTCTCTCTCTCTCGCTTTTTCTCTTGTTTTTTTTCTCTTTTTCTATGCTTTCTCACTGCAACCCCCCCATCTTTCTCTCTTTTTCTCTATTACTGATTGTTTGTCTCTTTATATCTCTCTGCACCTTCTTGTGCTCTTTTCTCTCTTCATTCTCTCTTTCTCTACCCCACCACCACCACCACCATTTCTCTCTCTTTTGTCTTTCTATACTATACCTCTCTCTCTTTTACTCTCTCTATCTCTTTGTCTTCTCTTTCTCTCTCTTTTAACTTTCTCTCTCTTTAGGACTATCCTTCCCTCCCATCTCTCTCTTTGGTTTTAGATCTCTCTCTCTCTTTTCCTTTTCTTAGGTCTCTCTTTTCCTCTTTCTTTCTCTCTTGGTTTTTCTCTTCTTCTTGGCTTTCTCTCTCTTCTTTCTCTTTGCAACCCCCCAACTTTTTCTGTTTTTCTGTCTCTGATTTTTCTGCCCCTTCTCGTGCTCTTTTCTCTCTCTGTTCATTTTCTCTCTTTTCACTCTCTCTTTCTCTGTGTCTTTAGGGCTATCCTTCCCTCCATCTCTCTCTTTTTGAGTCTCTCTTTTCCTCTTTCTTTCTCTCTCTCTCTTTTAGGTCTCTTTTCCCTCTTTTACTCTCTCTATCTCTTTGTCTTCTCTTTCTCTCTCTTTTAACTCTCTCTCTCTCTCTCTTTAGGGCTATCCTTTCCTCAAACTTTCTCTTTGTTTTGAGATCTCTTAGGTCTGTCTTTCCCTCCATCCCTCTCTATCTCTCTCTTTTTTTAGGTCTCTCTTTCCCTCTTTTACTCTCTCTTTTAACTTTCTCTTTAGGACTATCCTTCCCTCTATTTATTTTTAGATCTCTCTCTTTCTTCTCTTCTCTCTCTCTCTTGTTTTTTCTCTTCTTCTTGGCTTTCTCTCTCTTCTTTCTCTTTGCAGTCCCCCATCTTTCACTCTTTTTCTCTGTCTCTGATTGTCTAAAGCTCTCTCTGTACTACACCTCTCCCTCTTTCACTCTCTCTCTCTCTCGTTTTTTTCTCTTCTTCTCAGCTTTCTCTCTCTTCTTTCTCTCTGCAATCCCCCCATCTTTCTCTCCTTTTCTCTATTTCTGATTGTCTGTCTCTTTATATCTCCTGCCCCTTCTCTTCTCTTTTCTTACTCTCTTTATCTCTTTGTCTTCTCTTTCTCTCTCTTTTAACTCTCTCTCTCTCTTTAGGGCTATCCTTCCCTCCCATCTCTCTTCTTCTTTCTTTCTCTCTTGATTTTTCTCTTCTTCTTGGCTTTCTCTCTCTTCTTTCTCTTTGCAACCCCCATTTTTTTCTCTTTTTCTGTCTCTGATTTTTCTGCCCCTTCTCATGCTCTTTTCTCTCTCTGTTCATTTTCTCTCTTTTCACTCTTTCTTTCTCTCTCTGTTCATTTTCTCTCTTTTCACTCTTTCTTTCTCTCTCTCTCTTTTAGATCTCTTTCCCTCTTTTACTCTCTATCTCTTTGTCTTCTCTTTCTCTCTTCTTTTTTGTTATTTTTGGTGTTTTGTAGGATTTTAAGTCATACGTGATATAATAAATGTATTGTTAAAAGTCAAAGTCTTCTCTTTACCTCTCTTTTGACTCTCTCTGTCTCTCTTTAAGGCTATCCTTTCCTCAAACTGTCTCTTTGTTTTGAGATTTCTTATGTCTCTCTTTCCCTCTCTCTGTCTTCTTTTTCTCTTTCTTTTAACTTTCTCTTTAGGACTATGCTTCCCTCTCATCTCTCTCTTTGTTTTTAGATCTATCTGACTCTCTTTTAGGTCTGTCTTTCCCTCCATCCTCTCTGTCTCTCTCTCTTTTTTAGGTCTCTCTTTCCTCTTTTTGTCCTTTTTTTCTCTTTCTTTTAACTTTCTCTTTAGGACTATGCTTCCCTCTCATCTCTCTCTTTGTTTTTAAATCTATCTGACTCTCTCTTAGGTCTGTCTTTCCCTCCATCCTTCTCTATCTCTCTCTTTATTAGGCCTCTCTTTCCCTCCCTCCTTCTCCCTCTCTCTCTGCTCTCTCTCTCTCTCTGCCGTAGGAGCAGCTCTGCCTCCTACACAGCGCTGGTATCAACAGGAAAGACGCAGCCATTGAAACTAATTGGGTGGTGTGTGTTTGGTGAAAAGAACAGGCTGTACTGTCTCTGCTCCCGCCCCCTGCTCCTCACTGGCCGCCTCTGGAGTGGTGTGCTTTCCTTTCCTACCATCTGATTGGATCCCGGACAAGTCAGTAACGCAAAACTTTCCCCCCCTTTTCTTTTTTTTTTTTTCTCCTCAGAACTTACTCTTGTTGTTTTCGACTTCAGCAGGGGCGAAAGTGGCCAGAGAAGGATCACATACTGGATCCGAACTACTGCTACTACGAAGATGTGCAAAGTTATAGATTAAAATGTGGTTCTCAAACTGCTCATGCACCACTTACTTTCAGCTTAATATTTTCCAAACATGCACACATACACGACACTTTTTGCTCACAAACTTAAGAAACATGGTGTATCTTGCAAAAAAAAAAAAAAAAAAAAAGCACCACTATTTCTAATCTAGTACACAAATTTACCCTGCACATCTGTTGCAAGTTATAATCTCATGTATTTTAGTCCAATAACAAAGCTCCACAGTGCAAATCAACATACATAGTAACAAGTAAATTGCACGCTATTTAAAGTCCAAAGAAATGTCCACCTATCATAAACAAAGTGGACTGAGAGCTGTGGAGCCAGTGTCACTCCTGCGTCACATTCAGTTGTAGTCACTTTAACCCTTTCGTGCTGGGGCTGGCTGTAGTGATGTTAACCCTTTAAAGGTGCTCGCTGTGTACGTTTTCTGGCGGCTACAAAAACACATGTGAATACACTAGATCCATTTAATGCCATGCAGTGGAACATTTCAGTCATCTTCTTTAGACCAACAGATGGCAAACCCTGAACCAAAAAAAGTGACATATTTAGTTCACCTTTATGTTTCAATAGCACAGTAAATATAGGCAAACTAAACTAACTATTGTAAGATTGTTACACTTTTTTTTTTCAACAAACCAGCAAATGAATCCTTTACCAGAAAAGTTCCATAGTGCAGCTTTACCACTGCAGTGTCATGTTTAACTGTAGCTGCAATGGGCTGTAGTTACATTAAGCATGGGCCATTTTAAGTACCTGCACTCTGTTTCCTGCTGTGACTTTGCCTCTGCCCAGGGACTCCTGATGAAAACGAGTTTGTAGCTAAATCTGGTCTGTGCAATGTATTTATTGTGCAATGTGCCAGTCAAATAAATAGATAAATAAGTGTTTAGATGCTGGGTTGGGTTGTGGTTAGATTAACCCTTCAGGCGCTGGCGTTGCCTCAGGTCTCTTGTACTCTGTCCTCTGTGAGCTCAGTGTGTCTCATGATTAAACAGTAGTGTTGGTTCAGGGTGGAGCAGAACAATCAAAATACTGTGCACGTTTCATCAGCTTACATCAAGACACAAAAACAGCACGCCATAAAATCAATTATGGGCTCAGTTTAGCAAGAGTTTATTGGTCATAAAAACAATAATGAAAATATACATTTACAAATGTGGAAAAATGTTGCTTTGGAAAGCTTTACACACACCCACAAATTTCAACATAAATAAGTTAGTTTCATTTTTTCAGTGTTTTTCTTATAAAAGCCACACAGGTACACTTCAGTTTTACATGAGGCAGTGTAACTTTGTTTTCTGCCCCTCACAAATGAAAATCAATAATAGTGCAATTACATGTTCCACATGAATTCCACGACACAAAGACTTGTCTTTGATTCACATATTTGCATAATGTCGCCCAGTGACTGAAACATGAACATCCTGGACATGTGGGGTAAGTCGACTACCTAATGTAATAAAGGTTATTATCTTAGGACTATTAGCAAATACTGTTCAATCTGATTGAATATTGCTCAGCAGTTAAGCCACCCACCCCTGCCCTCCCACTAAAGGCACTGACTTTGGCCACAAATATATATATAATATATATAAAAAAAAAAAAAATCAAAACCAAAATGGGGAAATAGGACAGGTGAATTGCATGTAAACTTTGTGATGGCTGTCCCAGTCCGATGGAGCACCACTCTCAGTGAGTCCACCTGGGCCTTCATTAACACTGGGAGTAAAGCCACTTTTCCCAATAACCCTGACTTTGAAATCTGCATTTAACTTACATCAATTTACCTGAATAAGATTACATCATGACCACTTTCAACAAACAACATTTCTCTGTTGGAAATTGCACTGCAACTTCTGAGTCAAATTCACACAAAAAACATTGGACAAAAAAAAAAAAAAAAAAAAAAAAAAAAAACATATGAAAAGCATATTATGCTTTTTATGTGCTACATCTGAAACGTAGGTAGTAGAAAAAATGAGCAAAATCCTTTTTGCACACTGCTACATTGTCTGCTGATTCTGAGGAAATATTCAAAAGAGTGCCAAACTTGATAGTGTACATATTCAGTGCTTGTGCAGCCCGGGCTCCCTCCAAAGGCCGCTTTAACTCTGTGCTGCGTGTCAGATGACGAGAAGGCTACAGTATTTCACCAGCTCCGCGCTGCGCTGTGAACAAAGAGGAAATAAACTGTTGAAAACATGACTGTTGTTGAAAACATGACTGTCTACAGTTTCACAGGCTCGTGACGTGTTAGTGCCGCGTGAAGACTTCTGCAGCGCGTATACAAAGCGCACCAGTTTCACTCAATGCACTGACAGAGGCGCTTCACCTGTCACTGACAGCGGACTCACCTGTCACTGGTCCTCGGGCGCCTGCTCTGGGACCTGCGCCGCTCGGCTGGTCCCGTGGTCCGGCTGGTCGCCCTCGTGCTCCCCGTTAGAGCGCGAGCTCTTACTGTGCGGCTCGCTGCTGCAGCTGGATCCTGATGGAGACAAAAAGAGTGAGACGTGGGCGAGGAGAGCTGCACGTCCACTGTCAGACGGCACCTGTGACTGACATGCACACAACGCTATAAACGCTGCTACTACTGTTGTCAGGACCATGACAAAACACTCACAACTATTTAACTTAGGTGTTGGCAAATTATCTCTCATCTTTTTTGCACACAACCATTTTTAAGATAAAGCTACAAAAAATAAGTGCATAAAATCCCGTTGCACACACTAAAATAAGGTTGTTTTCAGTCACCTGAGGGGTCTGATGGTCGTTTCCTGGAGCGCTCGGTCTCTGCCGTTTGCCCCGGTGTTGTCTCCACTTGGTCCCGCGGGCTGCTCCTGCCGCGGTTCTCTCTCCTGTGAGGAGGTCTGCGGTAAAACTCCGGCGCGTTCTCGTCTACCTCCCACTTATACTTTCCGGGAGAAAGTGGTCTATCCTCTACGGGGTCGAAGTTATAGGTGTCCCTGAAGCGGCGCTCCTCCGCCTGCTTAAATTCATTATAAGTCTCCCGCAGCTCCTCTCGGTCAGGTGTGCCGAAAAGGCATCTGCGCACCGATGGCCGAATACTGTCCGGCAGCCGCGCATCCACCCTCTCCAAGGTCGGACTCGCATTAGAAAGGCGAACATCTGACATTTTTATGCACATAAGACAAGAAAGCTCCCGTGAACACTGTTAATCCAAATTCGTATTCCTTTTAAATGCACAAAATGGAAGCGACGCATAAATCCTCCGTGCGTCTCATCCAAAAGAGGCATGAAAATCAGAGAAGAAACCTCCCCACACAGCGCTGCGGTCTTTAAAGCAAGCCACTCCTGTCAGGTCCGTAGTAAGCAGAAGAAAACAACAAGTCAAGGCATAACAGCCAACATGGCGTTAGAGGGAGCTATGAGTGAGGGAGGCAAGTTGACATCAAGGACTATTTAAAACAGAGAAGCCAATTCATTGGTCTGTGCGTAAGGACCGCCCACTGTGCGCTCTTAAAGTCAAACAGGGGCAACTACAACTGGAGCTGGATGGGATTAACTCCGCGCGTGAATGTGTAATTACGGTGCAATACATGTGTAAAAATACACGCAGACGATAACAGACGAGCAATTATCTCGTCATTAACATCAAGTACCAATCTGCTGCGTTATAAATGGGGTAGAATTAGTGCCTTTATTGTGTCTTGTTTTTTGGCATTGTCTTCTCTTGTGTCCCAAGTGTAATAGCTGATATGGAACAAATGAAAAGGTCTGTTGCTTATGGACATTGAGCCGAGGGGTGGTAACTTTATCACTTCATTCAATCACAGTGCAGCACCGGCTGGTTTTACGCACACTGATCTGATTTGCGCCACAGAAACTGCGCTGATACACGTGATTAAATCAGTGCAGACTTATTCAACTTAGCTTCAAGGTCACTCAAGGACAATAACAATGTAAGAAGTAAATGCTCACAAATGTGTCTGCTGTTATTCGATGACATCACTGCAGAAAGCCTTGTCATGGTTGGCGCGCTGCCTATCGCTGTCAGACTGTCACTGCTGGTGCCAGGGCTGGAGCGGCGCGCTTTACTGCTTCCAATTACGTGTAAACAAGATAGGAAACAAGCTGTTTATGAAGACCTAGAACAGTAGAGACACGTTTCTCTGAGTGCTCTATATGTCAGCACACTACTGCTTATTTAACGCGGAGAGATGTGGTGGTAATTGGCAGGACATCAGCGCGCGGGAGAGTGCTACTCGAGTTTAGGAGTTCAAGATGTTCTGGAGCCAGTGTCACTGCGCATTCCTCCGCAGCGCTGGCAATAAAACCCAGTGGGGCTGCTGCCTTCAGGACCAGGCCGTTTCAATTAACCCTTGAAACAGAGCCAGACATCTCGTGATAAATACAGCGAGGTCATCTGTTATTTTACTCTTATCACCGGGATCTCTGCTAATCCATAATGTGTTTAAACTGCAACAAATGGGTACAGTACGGTACATGGTGATCCCAGGGCTGAATACTTCCAAGTGAAAAAATATGACAAGATAAAACAGAGCACACACTGAGGGAAATTAAAGTTCAAGTGAAACTATTTATCTTTAGATAAAACAAACACAGAGAGTCACACATCTATTGTTTCTCAGTAACACTAGTATTGGTGTTAATGACTTCATAGAAGCCAAGTAGCTGGAAATATGGTCAAAACAACTTAAGACATGTTAAATGGTGTGAAGTATCATTAAAAATAAAGATCTGAAGCTAAGCAATGGTTGTGGAGAAGTTTAAATTTTGCTGGTTGTAAACACAAGTTAGAAATATCCTTTTGGTCTTCGCTACAGATTAATATTTTGCATCTAATAGTTCAAAGGTCACTAAAAATATGTCAGTGGAAGACACATGATGCAGAGACATAAACAGTGAACTTGAGTGTAACTTGATGTTAATGTTCTTCACACACCAAAATCACAAAATTCTACCAATAAAACTGATAGCTTTTGCACAGATTTAAGCATAAAAACAATTAGCTGCATCATTAACAACAGCTTCCTTGTTGGTTTAAATTAAAGTGTACTGGCATGGGTTTTGCACACTCCTTTTCCTCTTTTTGATGACAAAGGCTATTCAGTCCTAGTTTCTGAATGGTGTCCTGGATTTGAACTCGGTTTTGCCCGGCGTCATGACACTGCAGCACTGGAGCTCTGCCTCTTCTTGGCCAACTCAGCGCGGATCTGATGGGGGAACTGGTCCAAGTGCTTGTTCACACACTGCATGCAGAACCTCTTGGTGTAGAATAGACTGCAGTCCTTGGAGAGAAAGAAAAAAGCACGAAAGTTCAGTATCAAGGTTTCAAAAGTATGCTATAGACCAGTGGCTCTAAACTCTACTTTGCAGTCTTTGTGGTTTGATTTTGGGCTGGGTTTAGTCCGGTCATGGATTTCCCCTGGTTATAACCAAGTTCCACAAGTTTTTTGTGCGTAAGTGTGTGCCAACTGCTTGTCTCCATGGAGATGGAGATGTGCTTTAGTGGAAAGCTTCACTGTATGGCATTACATTTGTCTATTCTGTTTTTAAAAGTGTTTTTGAGCAACAGAACACCTGTAGTTTAATAAATGTTAAATGCAAGGGAGATCATTTTAATGCCACACTGTGAAACATCCAAGGAAGACATCCAAAGTAGTTTACACTGCATTAACCATTCACTCCATAGTCTGAGGTGGTAAGCTCCAATTCTAGCCAGAGCTGCCCCGGGTTCAGTTGATGAAAGACAAAAGAAAGGCTGCCAATCTGCGCCACTGGACCCTCGGACCACTACTAATCAATTACTCCTTTATATACTGCATTCATACTAGGCAAGATGGGTTTAAAGGCTATAATAAAGATTGATGATGACTTTAAAACCAAGTCTTTTGCAGAAAAATAAAGATATATTCAAATATTTGCAGCTGTAGGAAGATCTTGGTGATGTTAAAACCCGAGACTTACTGTATTAAACGATTTTGATTGTGGCATCCATCAAATTCACTTGGGACAAACATAAACCACATGATTACAGAGTCAACTGAGGCAAACTGCAGACCTACATTTTCACAATCCACTGGCACAAGGTTAAATAGAGGCAACTGGAGCAGAAGAAAAAGATGACTACTGTAGTTAAAAAGTACTGTATTATTAACATTTACATTAACATTATAATAAAGTATTGGACATCTGTAAAAAAAAAAAAAAAAAAAAAGGAGGAAAACTCCAAACAACTACTACCATTTAAAGTTACATAAACATATCTTTTGGTGAGCTTAGAGAGACCCCTCCCAATACAGCATAGCAATATTTACAGCGTGGTTAAAGTAATAAAAATGGCATGCATTCTCTTTGAAATGCAATCTGATCTTTTTTTTTTTTTCCAAATTCACTTAATTTCTAAAGAAAACAAGATGACTTTTATTTGCCCCACAATGGTGTAATTTCAAAGTTGCAACAACAATAGGGCTGTACAAAAATACGGAAATATCGATATATCATCACATATAATATGGTTTAATTTAATGATACAGTATCAATATTGTGGGCTCCTGTATCGATATATCATCACAAGTATTTTTTAGGTATATACTAAACAATTTTGTGTAAATGCTACAATTGTGTTGACATTTTCACTGTTTTGAGTAAAATGGATGTTTTTCATTATTCACTTTGCACAAACTTAGTGGACTTTTAGTATCACAGCCATGATTTAGCCTTTTTTCACTGAACTATATCGAATGATTTGAAATATATCGTATCAAATCGAAAGCTCACTGTATCGAAAAACATATCGTATCAAGGTATGTATCATATTGGCAACTTTATAATGATACCCAGCCCTAAACAACAAAGTACAAAAACAGCAGAAGTAATGCAAGAATTATTGAAATTGTTATTTATTTTCTAATTGGCCTATGTTTAACAACTATTATAGAGCTCTTAACAGTCATTTTGTGTTTAAAGAGAGGAGAAATTACTGTAGTCATCTTGCTCGAGTTATAATTACAGAAATCAGGGTAAAGGTGAAGACGCAGCACAGACAAGCTGTTTTCTTACCGCTCCAACGCACACACACTTGTTGCACACGCTGCAGGTTGAGCCCAAAATTAGAAACCTCTCCTTCTCCGGCCTGAAGGGATCTTTAGTCACGAAACATTCCTCAAGTAGCCTAAAAATGCACGAAAACAATAAATTAACCTTGGGCAGTCCATTCTTTGCGTATTTTATATTTTTGTGCAAATTGAAGTAATTTCCTCAGAACCTTACGGAGCACGCAAAGTTGCAAGGTATTAGCTTTAGCATGGTTAGCTTCGGATACATATTCATGGATTTTCAGCGTTTTTTTTCACTTACACAATAGCTCTGGTGTTAGGTGGTTTCTGGCCGTAGTACGTGAACGGGCTGTTTAAACCACACAAGTCACAGACAAATAATTTAGGCGGTGGATCGCTTGTACTTTCACTCATTTTGACAGAAAAACAAATCAAGTTCCGGGTTTTGTTGTTGGCGTAACAGCGTAATTGTTTGATGAGGCTTTAGCGCCATCTATTGACACGGGGGAGAACTGAGGGTCAATACAACAGCTCCAGCTTTACTGAACCGAAGGACTGAATTATTACAAAATTATACATATTAAAATTAATTAGCTTAATTACAATCTTTCAGTGCATGTACAATACCCTTATTTCCATCTTATTTTATTACTATTTTTTTTATTTTATTTTGACTTGTACATATACATTTATATAATTATGCATTTGTCACCAGTCTCGTGCTATCTTTTTACTACTTATTTAGAATTTATTATTACCATTTATATATTTTACTATTTGTTATTATAATATACTGTGATGTGTGAGCTACTGTGTTCAAGTAATTTCCCTTGTGGATCAATAGCAATTGTGAAAGTCTAAGTCTATTTATATTATAAATTTTTTTTTAATTACGATTCACCAATGTATTTTTAAGCATTTGCAAACAAATACATACTTTTTTCAATGTATTTGTATGCTGTATTTTAATTGAATTTATTTCATTACAATGTGTTAATGCATGTACAATTTATTTTAAATTATATAATCAATGATTCTACATTATATTTTTAAAACATTTGCTATTCATTTGTATGTTGTATTTTAATTAAACTAGATCAATTACAATGTGTTCATGCATTTAAAATATATTTTAAATTATACAATATACAATTGTATAATACATTGTTTTGTTTTTTTATTCATTTATTTATTTTTTATCATTTCTACTTAACGGTATGGTGAAATGTATGGACTCATATATGCACAAATATGGTCTTTAATTCATTGGTAAATTAATTGGAGATACTAATTATAACAAAAATAAATCACAACTGAAGAAAAGCAGACACAGTTATGTTAACTTTAATTTCCATTGTGTTGTTTTGTTGCATTGCATGTTATTCAAAGAAAAACTAAAACATACTTATTGCTTCGATGTAACCTGCTAAGATCATGATATAAATTTCTCTGCATATCACAGTTTGTTCACAGTATTTTTCCTACATTAGTATTTACATAAAATACAAATCAGAATATTGAAACATTTTATACACACCAACAATTTTCACTATTTCATGTTTAAAACAACATGCATCAAAAACTTCAACCTCTCGTGAGTGTGTGTGTGTATGTGTGTGTGAGACCCAATTTTGAGTCAATCATTGATCTATAAGTAAAAGTGTTGAGCTAGTTCTCTGGTTATTTATCTAAGTCCATTATTTTTGTACTATTTATCTATTTTACAATACTTTTATTTACATTCAATATGAAACTGTACATATTATATAAATTGATATAAGCTAATGGCATTTGGAAAAGGAGGACCAATTTGCTTCTGATCTAATGAAATGCATTTACAGTTAAAATTAGTCATAGAGTAACAATATTTTTATAAGGCACTAAAACAAACTATTTGGTCTAATTTACTGGCAGCCTAATTAAAACTCTTCATCTCTTAGAAATACCCAAATATAACAAAAGTCCACGTTGATGCTATCCACATTTCAGTACATGTCCCGGTATATTTCTTGCAGCAGTGGGTGTAGTGACGTGTCCTCTGTCCTCTTGATTTCCTGGATTAACTGAGCATGCTCGGTGACCAGCTCGCGGAGGTCAGCCAGTTTCTGTAGCAGCCGGGGGAAGAGGAAGGCATCATCGGGATGATTGGCCAGCAGGTGGAGCTGGAGAGCCTGGACAATACTTTCCTGAAGCTGCTCCACTAGAGATGTGTCCATCAGGCCAGGACGGTCTGAGAGAAGAGTTTGGACAAAAGAATCAGATTAAATAATGCTGATTTAATTGGTATGTTACAATTGTCTAGGTCAGTCACATTATTTTTTCATGCCATGCACATTTTTAACTAAGAGACATGACAACAATCTGATCCAGATACTTTGCAGTCGCGTCACACTGGGGGTGTTCTACATGTATCTCTAAAGGTGGAATGTTATGGATTTACCATGGTGACACAATGCGCACATTAGCACAGGGGTATCAAACTCAAATTCACAGAGGGCCAAAATTAAAAACTGGGACTAAGTCGTGGACCCAACTAAATATTTATTGAAAAATTTCAGCAACATCTACATGTTTTCTCTTCTTTCGAGATATGTAATGTTAAACCTTTTCTTATTAAAATAAATGTTTAATAATAGTTTTGCTTAAACACTGAATCCGGAACAAGCATAATACAAAATAATAACAAAATTTTAAATAAATAATGTCTCTATAGCCAATCTGTAGCTGGGGGTTAAACTGTAGACCAGAATACAGATTTGACATTTTGTGCAATGGCAATAATTTTTATGTTTTTTATGTCAAGGAAATTAATATGGAAAGTCATTTTAACTAGTTTTTAATGAAAACTAAAAAAAATATCCTGATGTATCAATCTTTTTTGCTTGATTGCTGCATTGAAACTTCCATAAAATCCAGTCTGTTTGCTGTGCCAATCTGCTTATATGAAATGTTAAAATGTCTTGGCCATCTTTTCGTTACATCATTTTATACTGATTATAGTACATGATATAACCACTGTAATTACCTCCACAGCAGATAATGGCAGCCACAAACAGAGCGAGGTCACTGTCGTCCAGCTCCAGGGAGTTGAACTTAGTTGCGAATTGAAACTTGGGCTCCATCATGTCCCCAAACGGCCGTCGCAGACTTTTGAGAAACTCTCTTGTGATGAATCCTCCTCCGCGAGCCACTAACAGCCCATCTTTGTTCATGCAGGAGGCCAGCAGCGTGAACAGGGCTTCATACACACCATACTTCAACAGGGTCACCTACAATCACACACAGAAACAGATCTTATACTGGAGGAACACTAACTTCTCCATGGTGATGTTATCACTTTGCCAAGAATGTTCCAGAGTATAGCAGCAAACCTGTCTTTCTCCATGGAGACACAAAGTTGATGCCACCAGGCCAGGCCAAATTTGTAAAAAGGAGACCATAGACTGCATAAATAAGTGAACTAAGGGAGAGTGACGTTACCCGTAGCTTCGGCGTCAGTCAAATGAAGCTCACGATGCAAGTGGTAATTGGTAGTTTTCAAATAAAGTAAAAGGGACATTGCACGGACTGATGGACTGATAAACTGATCCGTAAAGCTGGTCACGCGATTGGCTGTGAGCTGGAGATATTTGTCACAGTGAGGGACAAGAGGACACTGGACAAACTGCTCTTCATCATGGACACTCCTGCTATAGAGGGACAGATAATACTCCCTACAACAGTACAACAACTCACCCACTGCACCAGACCTTAGAGGAACAGAGGAGCTCGAACATTTTAAGACCACAGTGGAAGTTAAGGAAAGATCAATGACAATTTTTGAGACAGGGTCAGAAGGACCCGGAAGCATCTGAAACACGACAGATAGGCTATATCCACTTACATACACAGTCTATGGAGGAAAAACAAGATGCCTGTTTTTGTAGTAACATAGGTGTGAGAAAATGTTGACACCTTGAAAATAACCAGCACTTATGTTAAAGATGCACTATGTAGCTTTTCTGGTGGAGGGTTCTCATTGTAAATTTGAACAAGCACCCGGGGACCAAGCAATTAACACTATTGTTGTTTGAATGTTGACAGCATTATTAAAAGGGATGTAACAATAACCAAAATATCATGATTCATGATATCATATTGTCAAAGTTCTCACAATAATATCGTGGACCATCTCAATATATCGAATCACAAGTTTCTTTGCTTAAATTAATGAGTTATGGTGCAGCAATAGAAGACAGAGGAAAGACAGAGGGAACTACATAGACCATGATCCTTTGCTCCATTTCAGTGAAGACTATCTGAAGAAATAAAAGGATAAATGTCATACCCTGAGATGTATATTGTGAAAGTATCGTACCGAGAGATTCGGATATTGTTACATCCCTAATCGTAAGCCTCGCCACCATTTCGTGAGCTTTCCCGCGATATCGCAATATATATCGTACTGTGAGGTTCATGCCGTGACGATATCATATCGTGAGACTTTGATATCATTACACACTTAATTATTAAGTTACCCCATATTCAAAAACCCACCTGGTCATTGAGATCTAGGCTCTGGAAACCCGGCACAGCTTTGGCGAACTCCGTCAGCTCAGTGACCGTCTCCACTGAGGTGCTCTGACAGCAGTGGAAGAGCCGTGCCTCCGCCTCCCTTCGCTGCACCTCTCCGTAGACATGGACCTCAGCAGGTTCAGGGACCCCCTCAGTCCCCACGACTACCACAGAACCTGTGACCCCCACAGAATCTGGGACCCCCATAGACCCTGGGACCTCCTCCACAGACTGAGGGACTTCCGCAGACTGAGGGGGGCTGGTTCGGGTGGGCTCTGGGTAGTCGCTCACCATATGGGCCGCTAGCGTGCGCTCCGCCAGCTGAAACGTGTCCATGTCATGGATGATGAAGGGCTGCTGGGAGGAGAGGTGAGACATGACTCAGAACAACAAGCAAGAAGGTGAGACATTACTGTAAAATCATTCTCTTCTCTGGTGGGTACTGTTACCAAAATGTAGATGTTAAAACAAAACGCACTCTTGTGAGCTTTAAGACATGTTAGAATGTTATTACCTCATCAAAAACATACCTGGTGTTGTTTTGTTTCATTCACACATGTTTGAGTTATCGTTTATTATTAGACTGTCCATATTTCCACAGGTAAAGAGGCTTTTCCACTTTGTGATGTCATGAAGTGGTGGTTTTCAAGTTAACTGCTACTTTTACCTGTTGTTTAGTAGAGACTGGCAGTTCCAAAGATGAAATTAACTTAATGATTCTAGTGAAAATGTTTAGAAACACTGTGGAGCACTTCCTGTCTTATCACATGACAATACAAGGTGGGAAAGAAGAACTCACTGTGGATATGCAGGATTTGTGTAAAACACGTGTGAATGAAACAAAACACAGCTCCAGGTCTGTTTGTGATGAGGAAACAACATTATAACATAGGGCCTGTTTACATGAGAATGGTTTTATCGGAAGTGCCTTTTGTTTAGACGGTGACAGCGTTTTTGGGGCTTAAAAATGAAAAAATCTGAAACCACCCTGCAGAGTGGAAAAGTTGAATACGCTCCGCTGTAGTGTTTCCGTCTACACTGCCCAAGACGCAAAACTCTGGTCATGCATACTCAATCAAATTCCACACACTTTAGCGTCACCGTATACATGCAGATTTCCTCCTGAAAATGCTTGTCTAAACACGGAATAAAAAGTGAAGACGCGATGCCACTTTTACTTCATCTGTTCAGACCGTTGTCATATAAACGTAGCCATAGATCCGAAAATAACGTAATATAGGACCTTTAAAATATTAATTTCCAGGCAGAGGTAGATGATATAAACAAAAATAAATACTCCAATTAACTATTTCTGGTTTGTTTTTGTTGATTATTCCATTGCCCTTTGTATTGACATTTTTTCTAACCTGTGTCAAATATTGTAAAATTAATAATATTAGTCACTACTTTAATATAAGTTTTCTTTCTTCTCTATATGTGTCACTGGTTATATACAGTTATGTGTCAATAGGAGATAATCCCCAGAATGCACTGAAGGCATGTTATGGTAGAAGGCATGCTACAGTAATAGCATTAGTTAATGGATTACAGAAACATTGCTCAAATCTCATAATCACTCATGGTCATTCACAGCTAGGGCCAATAAAGGATACATCAAGTACAGAGAACATATTCTAACAAAATTGTTGTTTTGACCCAACAGTTATTATTCTATCATTATTTTATTATATTTTATGGTTTCTATTGACTTTTTTGTGCAATAACTGAACCTCAATCAAGACAAAACAGAGACAGTTTCATGTCTGCAACCATCATAGTTTTGAATAAGGTCACTTGGTGCAACTAATAGTTCTTATCCATTTTGTCGGTTGATTGTGTGCATATGCAGATGTATTTAATGCCTCTTAAAGGTGCACTATGTAACTTTACCTGCTTTTTTTCTATGAACATGTCATCCCTTTGCCTGGAATGTTCCACAGTATGACATTAAACAGCTCTACCTTACATGTATTAAATTACAAGTGGTTTTGTAGCTCAAAAATACCTAGAAAAACAGACATTCTGACTACGAGTGGGGTTACCTCTCCACAGAGCTGACCTGTCACTTGGTCTGATTTGGTCTTCATAAACGTAGAAAGGTTTAATGCCATACAGTGAAACTTTCCAGACAAAGCAATAATATCTCCATGGAGAAAAGAATTTGACCTTTAACCAGAAAAGTTACACAATGTACGTTTAACCACAGTAAACCAAAATTTACCCAAGGATACCAATAAAGACACCTTAAACTTCACCTAAACCTAACATTTGTGCACCTTTCTGAATGACAAAAATCTGATGTGATTATACTTATAAGTAAACAGAAGTATCTTTGTCCTCACAGGCTGGCTGGTTTTCCCGGTGAGGATGAGTCGAGCTTTGGCCTTGTTCATGTTGAAGTTCTTCATGTAGGCTCTGTGGATCTGAGAGATCAGGAGTTTGTGGTCTGATGGCAGAGGTGTCTCTCTCTGCAGGACTTTGCACACCTCCCTGAGCTTCAGCTTCTCCGCTTGCGGCATCCGTCCAAAACGAATCGCTACAACCAACGAGAAGGAAGAGGAGATCATAATTAAAAGGGAAAATACAGATGACAGGAAAAAAAATACAGGAATAAGTCAAAGGAGTTAGGAAAATAACAGAGTAGTGAGAACAATAGTTTAAAGGGGCATTGTGTAACATTCTAGTGAAGGGTCCATTAGATGCTTTTCTCCATGGAGATCTTATTGCTTTGTCTGGAATTTTTCACAGTATGGCATTGAACCTTTCTATTCATTGAGACCAAACCAGACCAAGTTACCCAGACCACAGTCAGAATGTCTGTTTTTCTAGGTATATTTGAGCTATAAAACCATCTGGGATTGAATAAATGTAAACTAGAGCTGTTTAATATCATACTGTGGAATATTTCAGGCAGCACAATGACATATCCATAGAAATAACCAGGCAACAGAGCCCAAGTGAATAGTTACACAGTGCACTTTTAAAATAATTACAGCGGCAAAACATGTCATGATCTACTAGCGTACACATCAAATCCAACAACTATAAGTGCTAAACCTTGACAGCTAAAACTACAAATATAATTTCACCTTGTATCCTAGCACTTAATCCTACATAAGGTACTTGCAGCATCTCGAGTTGTTTTGAACTCATTACCTAGAGTAGATTACGCTATTTTCTGATCTGATGTTCTAATGTTGATTCCTCATCACAAACAGACCTGGATGGTTGAGCCTTAATCCGATACTTGGATTGAAAAGGTGAGAGAGATTTGTCAGATGGAGCAAAACACTTATTTGAGACTTAACAGCTCTTCGTTAAGAGATAGAGTCCCATGTTTGCTCTATTATCCCAGCAAGCTTGTGCATGTTTTTTATTTATTTATTTATTATTTTATATTATTATTATTATTATTATTATTATTAGTAGTAGTAGTAGTAGTAGTAGTAGTAGTAGTAGTAGTAGTACTTGTTGTTGTAGTAGTTGTTGTAGTAGTAGTTGTTGTAGTAGTAGTTGTTGTAGTAGTAGTTGTTGTAGTAGTTGTTGTAGTAGTTGTTGTTGTTGTAGTAGTAGTTGTTGTTGTTGTTGTTGTAGTATTACATTTGTTTATCTATTTTTAATATTGTATACGTATAATTGTTTTGGCTATTACTGTTGTTTTTTTCTATACAGTTTGGTCTCTAAATGTACTTGTACATTTGTATATTATATTCTAACATATCAGCTTTGTAATTGACTATGATGTACAAGCAGTGATATCTTAAACTTAATGAAAACAAAGTTAAAAAAAAAAAAAAAAACAGGCGTAGAGTTGTGTTTTGTTTCATTCACACATGTTTAACACTGAAATCTTGCATATTTAGGATAAGTTTTTCTCTTAAACAGAAAACACACAAGCTGGTCAGATCTACACAAAACAGACTTCTTTAAAAACTAAGGTACAATAGACAAACACTCTACAGTACAACATTGGTAAACTGCTTTTAAAAACTTCCTCCATAGTAAATACTTGAGGAGTGAGTTCATGTTTGGCCCTCCCCCCTCGGTCCACCACATATTTTACATTGCCTCTTTCTGCCTGACACTGAGCTAAAGCAGGCTCCTGTGAAGAAGTGCACATCTGGCTCATCTGCACACAGCTCTGGGAGGTCACTGGGTTTGTTTTCAGTGGCTCTCAGCTGAAAACGCAGCAAAGCACACAGAAAGATGCACTGCCTACAAATGAGCTGTAAGGGAATGTTGAAGTTAATGTTGCACTGTGTGACTTTTCTAGAGGAGGATCCACCAACTGCTTGTCTCCAGTGAATTATTACCGTTTTACCGCGATTATTCCTCAGGCTACGTTTGTATGATGACGGTCTGAACAGAAGACGCAAAAGTGGTGTCGCTTTTTCACTTTTTATTCTGCATTTAGACAAAACGTTTCTGGGAGGAAATCTGCATGCATAAGGTGACGCAAAAGTGTGTGGAATTGGATTGGGTATGCACGCCAGGCGGTGAGGTGGTGATGTATGTGACATAAACGCGTACATGATATGAGCACATCTGACCAGAGTTTTGCGTCTTGGGAAGTGTAGACAAAAGCACTAAGCCTTTACCACTCTGGAGGGTGGTTTCAGATTTTTGCGTTTTTAAGCCCCAAAAACACCATCACCATCTAAACCGTCTAAACCAGACACAGCAAACTCAAATTTGGCCAGCGATATAATTATTTTTGGCCCGTGAGATCGTATCAAATATGTATTAGAGCTGATCCGCCGGCTACAGATAGACTATAGAGACATTATTTATTTAAAATGGTGTTATTATTTGATATTATGCTTGTTCTGGATTCTATTTTTAAGCAAAACTATTATTAAACATTTATTTTAATAAGAAAGAGTTTAACATTATTATCTCGAAAGAAGAGAAAACATGCAAATGCTGTTGAAATTTTTCAATAAATATTAAGTTTGGCCCACGACTTAGTCCCAGTTTTTAATTTTGGGCCTCCGTGAATTTGAGCTTGACACCCCTGGTCTAAACAAAAGGCACTTCTGATCTTATCATATTTTGTCATTTTTACCCGCAAGCATTCTTGTGTAAACAGGCCCCCAGTATGGAAGTAAACTTGGTGATCACAATGGAAATAGGTTAATGGTCAGATCTATGGAGAAGCAAGTGTGCATGTGGTAAGAATTCATGTTTCCAAGGTATTTTTGAGCTATAAAACACCAGTGATTGAACAAATGCAAGGGAGATAATCTTAATACCCTACGGTGGAACATTCCAAGCAAAGCAATAACATCTCCATGGAGAGAAGAAAGTAGAATATCCAGGGGTTTTGTGTTAAATGTGTGAATGAAACAAAACACAACTCCAGGTCTGTTTTGATGTGGAAACAACATTATAACATAGATCAGAAAATAGCGTAATATGGTTTTGGTTGTTACCGTTGTGGGACATGCCGACAGATAGGCACTTGTTGAATCTGCAGAACTGGCACTTGTTTCGGTTCTTCTTCTGGATTTTACAGTTGAGCTCACACTTGTCATACTCCAGCTTCAGCCTGATGGTCCTCCTGAAGAAACCCTGAGGAAATGTAAACAAAAACAATAAGTACAACCGTCAATCAAGTAAATGCATTAATTGTTAAAGAAGATTCTGCTTTTTATGGGGGATTTAATTATAAACTATAACATATCTAGAGATGGTCCTCATAGTGAACCACAATATTGATCTAAAAATGCTTAAAGAGACAGTCCAGAATTTTGCACATAGGACCTCATTTCCTAGTTAGCCACTTTTTGAGACACTTTTTAAAATATTCCATCCAGTCCTTGTATTTGCAGAGGTCACTGGTGCTAGGTTATTGCATGTCAATGACCATAGTTATCTTGCCACTAAAAACAGACTTACCCACTCCACAAAAAACCCAGAGCAAATCTATTATTACACCAGACCGTCGATGTAAAGGTCTGTGTCAATAGAATAATTTTAGAAGTAAACCCAATCTTGCATTTGAAGGATTTATGTCTGAGCAGCAGCAGCAGCGAGTTGAATTTCCTGATAGAAAGCTTGACAGCAGTGGACTGATATCACCTAGCACCTATCTTACCTATTTCAAGTAAAATTCCAGTACTGCTGAGAAAATAGTCCCTTAACATGCGATGATTCATGCGATGCAAGGTTAGTTTTATTTCAAACATTATTCTATCAACACAGACATTTACATTGACAGTCTGGTGTGTAATAATAGATTTGCTTCAGGTGTTTTGTGGAGTGGGTAAGACTGTTTTTAGTGGCAGGATAACTATGGCCACTGACATGCACTAGCTTAGCACCAGTGACCTCTGCAAATACAAGGACTGGATGGAATATTTTAAAAAAGTGTCTCCACACGTCTCCAACACTCTGGATAACTAAGAAATGAGGCCCTATGTCCAAAATTCTGTCTATTTACCGTCCTATATTATACAAAACGACTCCTCTCAGCTTTTAACCATGTTGGAATATTCATCAAAACTTGGATGTGTTTTGTTTCATTCACACATGCTGAGTAACTGTCTACATCTTCAAAGCTCAAAATGTTCCAACTTGTGACGTCATGAAGAGAAGGTTTACAAATTAACAGCTACCTTTTACCTTTAGTTTAGTAGATTCAGTAGATAGTGATTCTAGTGAAGCTGTGTGGAGTTTAAAAACACAGTGGAGCACTTCCTGTATTACCACATGACATCACAAGGTGGAACCAAGTGTTTTCTGTTTAAGGGAAGAACTTACACTAAATATGCAGGGTTTGTGTGTAACATGGATCAGAAAACAGCGTAATGTATGGGCCTCTTTGATATTAATTTATATGTACCATGTCTGTAGTTCCTTACATTGTGCCTCTTTAAATACAGGTCAGGTTGGGTTACGTTTGAGTGCAATGGAAAGTATTTTTATTGACCGTCTGCCTGCACATGTGTGAATGCATCTGTCCTACGCAGTAATCAGCATTCCTAAGTTTCAGCCAAAAAAGATTTAGTCCTGGGACAGCCTATCCACTCATTATCCGCTGACAATGTACTACAAAAACGTGTATCGAGTCTGCGTTTGTTGTGAATACATGAAGAGGGAATATAATGTCCCTTACATAAAAATATGACCATGTGTGTTGGGTTGAAACTTGCAACTGTCACAAAAAGGATTTATTACACCCCCATACTCTTACTGTATGTTTTTCAATTCTTGAAATCGTGGAGCTCAACAGTGGCCACCCACCCTCCAGAAGTTCCAGAAGTAAATTTCTCCTTCATTTTCTCATAAACTTTCTGTGAAAAATAAGAATAATAATCAAAAAGTTTGAAGATTGCTCAGAGCTAATCGACTACGATGTGACTAATGAGCACAGGACCTATAATGTTTTTTGAAACTTTGTTAGCTGCAAAGTTATTAAAGTGCTTTGCCGAATTTTGTGTTTTAAATTTACTTCTTGAACTTAAAACAAACTTATTATGGATATTAGTAAGTATGTAGCTTGTTAGTCTCTTAATATTAGACGTTTTCGAAAAGTCGTTGAGAAAAATCAACGGAAATTTTACTTCTGGAACCGGAGAAGGCAGTTACCCTTGAGCTTCTATCTTTGCTAAACCGGCGTGACTAAGACTCTGACACTTTTGCCCCAAAGCAATAAGGTTCCAGGTAAAATTCCCAGACAAGTTTGTGTGTCTGGATGCTCTTTTGTCCCCCATTCAACTTAAACATGCTCTTTATAATGCTCCAGCTAAGACAGTCTTGACCAAGCCTTACTCATGATCTGGAGATGGTCCCTAGGAGTTGCTTTGTGCTGCCCACTGCCCCAAGTTGCATTAAAGTGGCAAATTAAGGATTAAGTCAAATGCAGAGGACAAATTTCTCTACAGGGACATTAAAGTGTACTTTATCTGGAACACAAGGGGAGGTGCATATTGAAGGAGAGAGATGTTTTATTTTATTTTATTTTTTTTATCTAGTTTTATTGAAACAGCAAATGGCTTTCAATATGAATTTCCTGAATATAAACAACAACGCCACACACTGAAACGAACTTTTCCTGAATAGCTTTAGAATGATTTCTAGCTGTATCAGAACAAGTACAATAGCACATAGACTAGTATACGCCCATGGACCACTACGGAACCACCCTGAACCACTGAGGGAGTACACACAGGGGTGTAGTGGGCGTGGTACGCGTGGGTACACCGTCCACCCAGTTCTCCCAGTATGAGATATAAAAAAAATAACAAATATAAAATAGCTCAGAACTTGGTGAACACAATCTGCATGGCTTATGAAATCTCCAATACTGTCCCATAGTGACATGCGATATGTGGGACCAGGACTGAACCAGGACTGAACCAGGACTAAAACAGGTCTAACCCAGGACTAAACTAGAACTAAACCAGGGCTGAGTGTCGAGAGGGGGTCGGAGGTGCGCCTGCGTAGTTTGTCGGGTGACCACAGATGAAAGGACCGGTGCAGAGCTCCACGCCCCACGGGGTTAACCACAGCCGTCGCCCAATCGCACTTTGTGGACACCCTCCTCCACGGGCTCCGGGTTCTTTGTCTCTCTCAAGTCCAAGATTAATCCTGGTTTAGTCCTGGTTTAGTATTGGTTTAGTCCCCGTTTAGTCCTGGTTTAGTATTGGTTTAGTCCCCGTTTAGTCCTTGTTTAATCCCCGTTTAGGCCTCGTTTAGTCCTCCTGGTTCAATCACAACTCACGTAGCCCCACTTTAAAAATCCCCACTACAACACTAATTACACAGATATAATGGTACCACATAGCAATATAAAAGAAAGTGCTACAATTTAATGCTGAAACCACATTCTATTGTCTAAAGAAAGAGTGTTTTTATTATCATCGTGGTATCAGAATCAGTATTGAGAATCAAGTCTATCCCTATATAGAAATTGAACTGTTAGTATCGTGACAACAGTAGCAGATTAAGGCCCCTGTTACAACATCCGCTGACTATACTGCCAGCTCCATAAGCGAGTCGTTACACAATATATGGTTAGTATGTGGTTTTGGGCTCATGGAGGTGCAAGGAGCTGACTGTAATTTTCAGAGAAATGGGGAAGGACTGAGTCTGTACAAACAACAGGCAGTGATGAGTATGACATGTGTTAACTTCTTGTCAGCACATGTTTCGACTTTGGACTCTGATTCAGTGCTGCTGAGTAACACACAGATATAATCAACCGTAATTGATTGGGCAATGCTCCCATAACTGGAAATGTTGCTTTTTCTTTGCATTGAAAGGGGACATACTGTGCAAAATATACTTTTAAGAGCATTTAATCATTCTAACGGGTTTCTCTCATCATTAAAGGCGCACTGTGTAACTTCTCTGGTGCAGGGTCCGTCCCCTGTTTCTCTACATGTAGACGTTACCTGGAAAGGTCCACTGTATTAACCAGGCTGGTGCCACTTAGTGCTTCCACTCATTTTCATTTCTCTCCATCGACTATGTCAGGAATCAGAATACACTAGACGATTCGCAGAAACCTCGGAAGTGTGAGTCCGGGCACCAGCCAATCAGCAAACAGCCATACATTCTGTGTTCGCAACGATTCCCAAGAGTGAGGATTTAAAGCCGGAACAAAGAGAATGTTTGGTGAATTTTATCAAGGGGAAAAACGTTCTACTTTCTACAGGATTTGGGAAAAGCTTAATATACCAGAGAGCCCAGTTAGCGGAGCATTACACAGATCATGACCAAATAGCAGCAATTGGTTAAATTTTTAAAAAGTACCCGCCTTCCGTCAAGCGAACAAATCCTAATGCTGCGAGGTCGTGGAATCAGGCTACCACTGTATGGCATTACACTTATTTATCTCCATAGCAACAGCAGCTGAAGCCATAAGACTAAGTTACATGTCAGGTCTGTGCAGTAGCAAACCCAGTCACATTTTAAAGTTTTTTAAGTCAATAAAAACCCATGTTATTGAGTAAATGCAAGATGGATACGTTTAATGCCATAGTGGGACATCTCAGACAAAGCAACAACATCTCTAACTTCGTTCTACAATTTTATTTTCTTAATCGATGATACACGTAGGATTAGGCAGCATCCCGTTTTCATTATGGTACAAATGAAAAAACCTGCTTGTTGCTATTGTGATGTGAACCTATCCATAGGAGGGTTTGACAACTTCTCAACTATTCTGGGATACATATATATTATAAACACTTTTCACAAGTTTCAAAGACCAGTGCAGAGTGACGGTAAAGTTAACAACTAGCATGCTAACACAGACTTTGTGTTTATTAGACAATAAACCTTCATAATTAGATGCAGACAGCACTCAGCAGACATATTTTGACCTCAAGAACGTCTTACAGTATATCTGTGCAGGAGCAAGAGAGTTTTTACACAAATATAAGAGAAAATAATGGGTACAGGCCCTTTAAGTACAGTAAGTTCCTGCCCTGTAGAGCTCACTTGATGCCTGTAGTAACGTGTAATCACATTGTACTTTGTGTTATTTGGTGTAAGTTACATGTACCGTCTACTGCACAGTAACAGACCAGTCTAAAGGGAGTCTAACTACCCTCAGAGTAAGGACACATGTTAACTCAGAGCTTTTATCTTAGTCTATTTTAGGGGGAGCTAAATAGTTACACACTGTGGCTTTAGGTGCAGTAAATCATAGCACAGAAGAGTTGATGCCTGTAATAACATATAATCACATTGCACTTTATGTTATAGGGGCTTGAGTTACATGTACATCTACCGCACAGTACCAGACTGATCTAAAGCAAGTCTGGTTATAACCTTGTTCAGCTCTGCCAAAGTTAAGCCCCCACAGCGTCACCACATTCCTCCCAAATTCCAGCTTGTCCCCTTGAACCGGTCATACACCCCCACAGCTCCAGAGCCTTTCCATGATACAACGTCACCATGTCAACTCCCATCTGACACCACTTTGAATAGCCCTGATAGGCACAAGGCTTACATGCTTCTACTGCAACTAATATATCTGGATAAGAGCTGACTGCAAGATAACTGAAACAGGACAATCAGATCTGTGGATTGGCAACCCTGCTGACAGTCAGAATGTAAGAATGTAAGGTTGAGCTGTTTCCTACCACAGTCTGTTCTGATGTATTTGAGTTTCTTTTTGTGCACCAGCTACACTGACAATTTGATACGACTGAATCTCCATTTTGATTAAAACTGGATAAATTTCACATCTTTCCTACCTACAACTCTGCCCTCGCTTCACATTATAAGCGCCAATATTACCTCAGTCTTGTCTGATGTATTTGAGTTTCTATTTGGGAGCACAGCCAAAGGGAGGAGAGGTGACGACTGAACCTCACATGACCCTCTGCATGTTTCACAAACTTTCCACTGGCTCGAGGTCGACTCCGCTCAGGTCTGTGTCCTTTAAACTGCACGTCAAAGGAGTGTGCTTCCTCCTTTGTAACAACCCAAGAGCTATTGTTCTTTTTACAAACCAAAACAGGATATAAAAGTTGGAGGTGGATAATATAATCACCAAACTATTGACAATATTGACTAATGACGCCAGGGACAAACTAGGTCAAGAGTGAAAGCAGCCAGAGAAAGGACAATCTTAGGTCACTTTCACAGTGTCACTACTTAGGCTGACGTAAAAGACTTTAGACCAGTGTGAACAGAACAGCCGCATATACACTGGGGTCTGTCTGTCCGGGTTAAAAAAAAAGTGCTGCTGGAGATCAACTGATGGACTTTGACGTGGCTCGTGGTGCATGTTTGGGGTGAATGATGCAGATGTGAACAAGACTGAACCAAAAGTTAAGTAAACAGAAATAAATGTAGTGTGCACTGGGGTCAGTCCAGAGAGTATGGTAACATGTGTGAGAACGACCTTAGTGTCTGTGTTTTAAAAGATCATTTGTCTTTTTGGCTATAAGACAACAGCTGTGCCTAGTGTCTCATGTGCAAGAGACTAGATAAGGAGCCAGCTATGGACAGTTGAGATGCTAAAGGATTTTTACACCATATGTGGTAGCAAATGTGGCAGAAGACCTTCCAGAGGAAATACTGAGAGAATGGACCATTTCGTCAAAAATTGAAACATCAGAGTGGAGTAAGAGTGAGGCTTATCCTGTTGTGTTCACCTGGTTCCCTGTGGACACTACTGTGAAACTACTCTCTCTCATGTGGTCAAAGTACTAACATTTCAAACAATTTTTATATCATGTGTAACAATGAGTATCTAGTTTCAATACTGGTTTTAGTGGCATCTGATTTTCGATACTTCTGACAACAAAGTGTGTCTGAACTGAACTGAACCCAAGTAATACATTACTTTTGACAGTATCTATACATGTATCTGTAAGTTTTGGCATGGTTTATGAAAGTATTGCATGCTCTCGCTACCTATGTGTCTGTCTGTATATCTATGTATCTATCTATTATCAGACAGTAGACTAAAACGCACTGTCTGTCCTCAGTGCTCAGGTCATTGCTTATGTTTGGTCTGTAAATAGGGTCAGAGGAACATGCACATCGAGTCCTCGCACACAAACAGACAGAGGCTGGACTCACCTTGCAGCCCTCACAGGCATGGACTCCATAGTGGAAGCCTGAAGCCTTATCTGCACACACTCTACACTCCAGAGACAGGGGCCCAGTGGACTCCTCTGGACTCGGGGCGGTCCCACTCGTGCCAGAGGACGGGCTGGAGGCCGGGGTCAGGGTTTCTACAGCAGAGACAGAGACAGTGCAGCTCTATTGATATTTTGCAATGATATCATGCCGGGGGTGTTCTGAATGTATGTGTAGGGAGGAATGTTCAGAAGTTATTATGGTGACACAATGCACACATTAGCAAACACAGCCAAAAACGTTTAAGACTGTCTGAAAAGTAAATAAAAATACAGAATGGATTTTAAAAAACACATTTTCTGGAGCCAGTGATAAATACAAGTGTCCTGTTTAGGAGTTTCATCTCAAAAAACATGACAGAGACTAACTAAAAAACTGTTCATGTTAATACAATCTAGCTTTTGACTGTAATATTAACTGTTGTAATTCCAGCTGAATCAGTTATTTCAGGTCAGATTGTGTTAAAATAAAGGCCAGATTAAAGTCTAACAAAGCATCAGACAAAGCAGTATCAAGTTGTTAATATTTGAGTTAATACTATAAAGGCAAGGTAAAGCATAATGTTACATACGTTGTTTATGTATTTTATAATTGTCAAACAAACAAAAATGGTCAGTGGTCAGGCCATTCTGCTAAGGGGCCAAGAACACTACCTACAGTGATGGGAAGAATACTTTGAAAATGTATTTAGTTACAGAATACTGAATACCTGCATTAGAAAGCATCATGTAACATATTCCATTACATGGTCCAATCAGAGTACTGTATTCTGAATAGTGGTGCTTGAAATACTTTTACATCCAGTTACAACATAGGCTTAAAAGCAGCATTAGGTTTGTTTCATCATTCGTTATGCATTTCCTATCATTAATTTGAGATATTTATGTAATTATGCCTATATTTATATATTTATGCCTTATTTGACATCAGTCTCTTGCTATTTTTCCTACTTATTTTGAATTTATTATTACCATTTATGTCTTTCTCTTGGTTATTATATTATATTGTGATATGTGAGTTACTGTATCCAAATAATTTCCAATAAAGATTGTCTAAGTCGAAGTATACGGGAAAAAAAATCACAAATATCGTCACCACAAGAGCAGTTTTCTCTATTTTTCTCACTAATGTTGTATAGGGCTGGGTATCATTCAGAAGCTGATGATATAATACATACCTTGATACAGTGAGCTTTCGGTTCAATATAATGTATTTCAAATTGATTCGATACGGTTCAATAAAAAATAAAGACTAAATCATGGCTGTGATACTGAAAGTCTTTGTTACATCAAAACAGTGAATATGTCAAATGTGTTGCATCAATGAGTTTCCTTTCATTAAACAACCAACAAAACTTGAGCACTGTAACAAGATGATTAAGTAAAATACACCAAAAATTGCTCTTGGTGATATATCAATACCGTAGCTCACGATATTGATACTGTATTATCATATTAAACGAATCTTAAATGACAACAATGGCATTTTAGGAAAGAAGCTGTAGTGTGAACACCACCAAATAAAAGTGTAACTGTATACTTCTGTACTTCTGAACAGGGGAATAAGCAGGGAGGGGACAAAAGGGTCTGTTGACACTAAATCCAGTGTTTTAGGGGCCCAGATTTGGATCCTTTTCCTATTAATTTATATACGTATGTAAGGGTTCAGGCTCCCAAATTACAGTTGATGGACCTGCTTCTGATTGTGTATTTATTTTCTGTACATTTATTTAGTCACTTCCCAACACTGCATATCTAAACAAACCAGTGCTCAGAGAAATAGGTGCTAGACTGGTGGTGACTGGCTAATTTTGAAAACGTGGAAGGAACTGAAAACTCCTACACTGAAAATGTGAGAAGAGAAATTCATGGACAGCGGTGCGTGTGAGACGGAGGGAGGGAGGATGGGAAGGGTGCATCCGTTACTGAGCAGTTGAATCATTTTTGTTTGTACATGTCTGTAACTGAACAAAGTGTTTCCATGTTGACTCTTTTAATGTTACGCCTCACTGCTTTTGTTTTGTTTTGTTTTGTTGGATCCTCATTATGTATAGAAACCCTGATTGACGTTGATTGATAATTAATAAAGCATTATATTTGCTCTAAGGGTGGACGGCATTGACATAAAAACTGTCTACTATTCACTATAATCTGATGGCTTTTTGCAAATTAGGGCTGGGCTTCTTCCTGAAAATAAAATTGTTGATTTCGATTTTTTTCTCCCACATTTTGTCTCCATTGTTACCAAAAGTACAGAAAATGGTAAAAACTGAAAAGCTTCTATTCAGTGATCCTGGGAAATCTTTTATAAATGTGATAAAACAAAATATTACATTAAATATACAGCCCTAACATTTCATTTGATGTCACTGATTGACACAATTTCCAAGAAAGTGGGGATATAAAAATGCATTTTCTTACAAATAAATCAATTTGAACTTCAAATTTGTTTAAAATTTTGCACAGCCCTATTTCATATTTATGAATGTGTTTTGCTTGCGGTTTGAGTAAAGCAGAAAAGTGAATGCTACAGTAAAACAGTGCAGAAATATCCTTTTATGACCTAATTTAAAGGATTACAATGCAGATTTCTCTTCTATTTTTATCACCCATACACTAAATACTCATTGTTCTATTTTTGCATATTAAAAAAACAGATGAAGTGGCTATTACTACTAAAAAGATTGTCAAGTAATAAATTCATAATCTGTAAACAATGAAATCAGCTACCTATTAAGTTAGTGAATCAACACATTACATTACATAAAAAGCTCTTTGTGTGCTGACATTGCCAACATTAATCTTCTTGAGTGCACATAACTTCCCACATTGCATCATACTGAGAGGTCACATGACTTACCCAGCACAGTGGGGCTGTCTGGACTCTGGTACTCGGGGAAGTCAAAGCCCAGACTGTTGGCTTCGATGGACTGAGAGATTTGAGCCAGATCGTCCATCAGGTCTCCACACAGAGGGCTGCCCAGGAGGGACTCTCCCAGGGGGGACGGGGGGCTGTACACGTCCCCTGCCATGCTCACGAGTGTCAAACACCAGACTGGGAGGAGAGAGGAGAATGAAAAAAATAAGAAAATGCAAATATTGGATGCATAAGAATAATAAAACTTCATATAATAATTGCATAATAATTAGGAGTGTAACAATAACCAAAATATCGTGATATTGTATCATCAAAGTTCTCACAATAATATCATGGACCATCACAATATATCGGATTACAAGTCTCTTTGCTTAAATTAAGGGTTATGGTGCAGCAATAGCTAAAAAAAGACAAAGGGAACTACATACACCATGATCCTTTGCTCTATTTCAGTGTAGATTACAAGAAGAAATAACAGTTTTTATTTATTTTATTTTTATTTTTATTTATTTATTTGAGACAGGGACAGCACACAATTTTTGCATTTTACCTTAACAGGAGAGATGCATTGTACATCAGGTTGTAGCATCAGTGCTAATTTCCACCTGTAGTCCCTGGACAGATTCATTGATTGATTGTATTTAACTGACCTTGACTATCAACTGTTCATGGAGACCTGTAGCATGTTTTGGGTTCTAAGCACTTTTAAGTGTTAGTTCTTTGGATTAAGTCTTGTCAAGGCATTTTAAGAGGAAAAAAGTCACATATTCACAGTTTTGTTAGCCTCCACAAAATATTGAGATAATATCATACCATGGGATCTATATTGTGAAAATATCGTACCGAGAGATTTGGATATTGTTACATTCCTAATCATGAGTCTCCCCACCATATCGTGAGCTTTCCCATGATATCACAATAAATATTGTACCGTGAGGTTCATACCGTGATGATATAGTATCATGAGACTTGGCTATCGTTACACCCCTAATAATAATATAAGGTAATTATTAATGGAAGGTCCTATATTATGCAAAATTGAAATGTTGTTACCTCATCTAAAGCTCAAAATGCTCTGTTCCACCTTGTGATGTCATGAAGCAATAGTTTTCAAGCTGCTTTCACCTTTAGTTCAGTACAGATTGGCAATTTCAGGTCTGAAATTATTCAAACGATTCCAGTGAGGGTGTTCGGTGTTTAAAAACACAGTGGAGCACTTCCTGTATCACCACATGACATCACAAGGTGGAACACGTGTTTTCCGTTTGAAAGAAGAACTCAGCCTAAATATGCGGGGTTTGTGTGTTAAACATGTGTGAATGAAACAAAACACAACTCCAGATATGTTTGTGATGAGGAAACACTAAAACATAGATCAGAAAATAGCGTAATGGGGGCACTTTAGGTCTAACATTTCAATTCTAAAATTCATGTGAAGAATGGCTGTTTATTTTATCTGCTTGTTGAAACATGTTTCCGTGAACTATCCCCATTGAGTCAATATGAACCATCTATTATTAGTGCATTAATCGGAGCCCGTCCAGGCAAAGTACACAAAGAACTAAGTACATTTTATCCCTCTAATGGTGTATTCAACTGTTGCATGCAGTCCGTCACTTTCATTTGGTCTGATGTGATGTTTGTGAATGACTCAGCTTTTTTGGACAGTTTCTTAACGTGAACGGCTGGATCCGGATCAATACGATACTGGCATTGGATATCGGCCTCCAGCTGATATCCTGAATGGACATATAAACTGATGTAAAAAGACTATTAAGAGTTCGTAGTCAGCCCAAAAAATTTCATAATGCTTGAACCTATGTAGCTGTTATTTATCTCTTAAAAAACTATAGAACACATTTGGATCAGTTTTGTCTTACAATAATTACAAAAATATCAATATATCGTATAGTTTAATGTGATTATATCAATATATCGGCAAGAGTATTTTTTTGGTATATTTTACAAAATTATTTTGTTACAGTGCTACAGTTTTGTTGCTTGTTTCGAGGAAGGAAACTCATTTTTGCGACACATTTAACATTTTCACTGTTTTGATGATTAAACAGTTAATGTTTCATATGAACTTTGCACAAGAAGTGGTTTAACAAAGACTTTTAGTATCACAGCCATGATTTTTTATTGAACTGTATCAAATCGATTTGAAATATATCGAATCGAATATGCACTGTATCGAGATATGTATCGTACCGTGGTCTATGTATCGAGGTTTGTATCGTATCGGCAACTTCTTAATGATACCCAGCCCTAATAATAATAAGACAAAACAATACATATCGGTATCTCTGGTATCGGTATCAGATATCAACAGATACTTAAAGCTATAGTATCAGAATCAGTACCAGAAATAAAAAAGTTGGATTGGTGAGTCCTTAATCTGGATCTCATTTTAAAAGAACTGAACTGTTTCTTTCCAATTATCCTGATTAACACTGAACCCACACAAGAATCAGCACAGAAGCAGAACAGGCAACACAAAAACCCCCTAATTGGCAGTTTGAACGTTTTTAAACAAATGTTCGTCTTGGTCATTAGTTGGTCATTAAATGAGTTCTCACGCTGGCTTGTCATATAATTAAATATAAATAGATCAAAAAGATATGGATCCCACAAAGGAGCCAAAAGTCCCATCATTAATTTGGTCTGATAATTTGTCATGTATATTTTTGTCTAGACGTAAAACTATGTGTAGGAGGAGGTGTTGGTGGAGTTCCAAACATCTGTTTCAACTATTCGTTGATAAACTATGGCTCAATGTGTGTTTGTGATACTGTATCTTATTCACACATGTTGCTTATTCACACATGTTACTGTGGTTGACCAGATACATTTCACAAAAAGGAATGTGTCAATTTAAAATAGTTTAACAGATAATTTCAATGAATATAGGGGCAACTTAGCAAGTATTTCTAAACTAAAAATATGTCAAAAGTGGGTTACTGTCAAAAATGTGTTAGGGACTTTTATCTAAAGATGGTGTCCAAATATTTTATCAGTCATTTAAGGATCATTCAGGATGCTATGAGATTTAAAAGAACTTGAAATCACATTCACCAATCCATCCATTAAAGCTGCCAGGGGTATTTTCTAACTATGAAAAGAGTTGGTAGGTATTTAAAGGTGCACTGTGTAACTTTCCATACTGCCATGTGCGTGTCTCCATGGAGAAGTGCCTCCATTGATACAAGCAAGCGTCGCCTCTAGGTCAAGTGAGTGGGTCTGATCAGATTCACACATTTTTAACGCAGAAATCCTGTATATTTAGGCTGAGTTCTTTCCTCAAACTGTAAAACCTTGTGAAAACCTTGTGATGTCAGCCAGTAATACAAGGGGTGCTCCGAACTCAAGTACCGCTTCATGACTTCAATAATACAGTGTTACTCAAACATGTGTGAGTGAAACAAAATGCAACTCCTGATATATGTTTTTGTGGCGGTAACAGCATTATAACATGGCTTAAAGCTCACAAGAGTTAATAAGACAGGACCTTTAAATGTAAGTCCTACCCTCACAAACCCTTTGGCACATCACAGTGTACTCACAAACATTCATATCTGGGAGCGTGAAAAGCTTTTCAGATGGCGAAGCTTGGCAGAGGTGGACCATGTTGTGTTTGCAATCAGTAAAATGTCATAGACAGATGTTGACAGTGCAGAGGGGCCTGGTTTTGTCAAAAAGAATTGCTCCTTTCACAATACACAATTAAATGAATATATTAATTTACAAAACTGCAAAACCCATATTAGGCTATTTTCTGATCATGTTATAATGTTGTTTCCTCTTCAAAAACATACCCAGAGTGTTTTGTTTCATTCACACATTAACACACAAACCATACATTTAGAGTTCTTCTCATAAACTATAAATACACTCTGTTCCACGTTTTGATGTCATGTGGTAATACAGGAAGTGTTTCACTGTGTTTTTAAACTCCATATATCTGCACTAGAATAATTTGAATAATTTCAGACCTGCATTTGCCTATTTCTGCTTAACAAAAGGTAAAAGGTAGACAGGCTGGCACCACATAGTGCCTCCGCTCAATTTCATTTCTCTCCAGTAGACTAGGTCATTAATCGGAATACACTAAACGGTTTGCCAGAACCCTGGAAGTTGTAGACCGCACACTGGCCAATCAGCGAAGAGCTGTGAAACCATGACATCAAACTCAAGCGCCTGTCTGGGTCCCTTTTGTGGTACAGCACAACAGTAAACAAAGCGGTCGAGATGGATGTAGACGAAGACAGACATTCTGTGCTGGCAACGATTCCCAAGATCAAGGATTTAAAGTTGGAACAAAGAGAATGTTTGGTGAATTATTAATGCTGTTGCCATTCTTCCTATGGGATTTGGCACATTACATATGTCACAACCAAAAAGCAGTGATTGGTTAAATAAAAAAAAGTACCTGCCTACCCTCGAGCGAACAAATCTTAAAGCTGCAAGGTCAGACGGTTTCCATGAGGTGAAACCAGCTGCTGAATCAGACTAGGTGAAAGGAGCTGTTAACTTAGGAAAACTATAATCATAAGGTGGAGCAGAGAATTACGAGCTTTGGAGACATAGACAGAAAGACTAATAATAAAGAGTTACTCAAACATGTGTGAGTCCATGTTTTGTAATACAGGACCTTCTAAAAAGCATTTCTTGTAATATATTTATATCAAACAAATTAGCAAATAGGGGCAGAAACAAAACTTCAAGGAAAATACATGAACAACTGAAAAAATATAATATTGTTTGACAAAGTTTTAAGGCGAAGCTAACAGAAGAATATCAAAACAACAATGGTGAGACTGGGGGGGATGGAGAGATGATCTGCTCTTGTTTATCCACTTTTTTGTCAAAAGAGGGGTACGGTCTCATCCACACACCAGGCATTAGTAACAGAGGGACTGCAGGAGATGTTGTTTTTCACATAAAGGCATGTATGGAACAAGAAGAACATCTGTTGACTGTTAACAGCAGTTTAACAAGTGTGTCAAGTTACAGCCCTCAGCCATACGATGCATTTCTTCACCACAGAGAGGACGGAAAAAAACTGTACGGATAAGCTTCACCAGGTCTTATTTATGACCAAAACATGTAACAAAGCGTAATGGAATGTAGGCTATTTAAAGATTTTTGTGGTCAGATATTGAGAAAGAACAATGAAA